GAGCAGCTCCATTACTAAAACTGTTACATTACTTCCGAGACAAACTATGACTTAACCACTCATGACTGGAATATTTTTGTGATATTATGTCACCATTTCAGAATAATGCTTTCATCACTATTTACAAATTGTCTTGATTTGCTATCAGTATAAGAGAAGTAATTTCTTATGGGATGTGTTGGCAGTAGTTAATATGTAGGTAGTTAAAAGTAAAAAGAATTTGTAGTGTCAATATCATTATTATTATATAGGGTGTAAGTAACTTTAACTTTTGAAAGCTGAATAATTCTTTTTGATAGCATATAAGACTACTTTCCACCACCTGCAAAAAAAAAGTTAAAATGTCTCCTACTTGTGAAGTTGAGGTTTCTGGTAGACTTGTTTATTAAGTCAGCATAAACTACCAACACTTGTACATTGATGTTGTAACCTAGAAAGGGTTACTGAATGAGGAATAACCAAAATGGAAATTGGAAATGAAATGGTAATCTTTATAACATCAACAAAATACAATACTTGCCAGCGGCATGATGTAGGTAAACCACTGCTAGTGGTGGACTGCTTAGACAGCATATTGAGATTTATTATATAAAATTATACAATTATGGCACAAGGCCAAAAAGGATTGAGGCTAGTCTTCACTGACTATCTTATACCCTAGCTAATCCGATTCACAACTCATTCACTCATTACATGTTACACATTCATCATAAGAACTCATCTGTCACTAATCAATCTTCCATATAAAATAATTCCTTATACTCTCAGGGGGACCTACAAAATGCACTCCATGATATAAAAATTTGATACATAAAAAGCTGAGGGGAGGGGATGAAGCCAAAAGCAAATTAAATATCAAAACAAAGTAACTGATGTTAGTAGGACCCATCCAACCTAAAAACAAGAGAGGCCACTGTATTCTGCCCTTGGACAAAATCAAGAGGCTCTCTCACTGAGGGAAAGGAGAAAATATATACAGACATGGGAAATAAATAAAGCTGACCCAGTCGAGATGAAAGGAGGCCAAAAAAACAAACTGGGGACGTTGGGAATCTCAACTTGGATCATAATCATGCAAGCGTTTTCTATCAGTTCTAATCTTCATCTTGAGCTGATGCTCAAAGAATCTGATCAGATCCTGATGAGAAAGACAGTTGCTTCGCAAGACTTCTTCCTGTCGCATCGTCCATATAACCATTTGGGCCATGGCCATCGGCAAGAGAAACGCCATTCATTTCACCCCAGAATATGGAGGTGACACATTGTCACATGCGTAAGTGCGATCAATGAGCACAAGCTTTTTTGGAGCGATACAAGCCATCAACTTGCTGACATGGTCCCATAGGGGGTGGACCCAAGGACAATGGTAAAAGGCATAGTAAAGCAGTTTCTTCTATGCCAAGGTAACATTGTTCACTGTCTGGCAAATCCGCCAAGCCCCATATGAAGGCCTTGTCATTGAGAGATAGCCTATTCAGAACCAGTCGCCAGGTAAGCGAAAACTCAGGGTTACTGAGATAATCCACCACTGGCGCCCATGGCCAGAAGGAACGAAACTCCTCCTTTTGACAAGTCAAGCCACACATGTAGATGACAGGCGTCCCTTACAATCCCCACCATAATTGAATCCCCTGTCAATGTGTGGCATGGGAAAGCCAAGTCGATCATCCCCCCCCCTGCAGACACTGACGTTGTGCACAGATTTCTCTGTTGACCTTATGCATGTGTCCTCTCCATAAAATAGAGAATAACAAGCACTCGAGTGCCTTCTTATGTTTTTGACAGAGAGGAAGTAAAAATAAGTGGTAAAGGACAAGAGGAAAGCCGTAAGTGGCACATGCCTCTGCCCTGCCCTTCACAAACAACCTCCTTCAGCGCTAAGTGTGGCCAGCTGCGCCGACCTTTGCCTGTACTTCTGACCAATTTTTCTCCGGCTGGAGGTCGGATCAAAACCACACTCCAAGAATGTAAACAGGACTGTCCGTCCAACCAAAGGTCCCTGGAAGATCGACCCCACCTTCCAGGCACCTAACTGCAAGCCGGAAGACTTGTTGTGGTTAATCTTGGCCCCTGTCACCATTTTGTACTGTTCTAATGCCTTCAGTATCACCTCAATATTGCTGTGGGATGATACAAAAGTAGAAATGTTATCAGTGTATGCAGAAACCTTGGCTTGAGCCCATCCAGGGACAGCAATTCCATGTAGGGCTGGACTGCACGCCCTGTCCCTTAGCCAGCAAAGGAGATGCTCCAATGGTAACAGTGGCCAACCCTGACGAAGCACACAACAACTTCCCATTCACCTGTACTGCAGCACTTGGGGAGCGATACAATAGGCTAATCCAGTGGCAGAAGTTGGGTTTGAATCCGGCAGCCTGCAGGAGAGTTGCCGGGTAGTGATGATAAGCCCAATCTAATGCCTTGGACTGATCTAAATTGATCAGTGTGGCCTCATCATTGTCTTTTACACACTCTATGGTCGTGCTGATCAGATGCCGGTTGCTCTGAATTGTTTGGCCCTTCACAGCGCAAGTCTGCTCAGGACCCAATAGAGACTCGGCAACTGACTGCAAACGCTCCTGCAGGATCTTGGTCAAAATCTTTAACTTTGTGTTAAATCCTGCCCAACTCCCTTGCCTTTTTTCAAAAGCTTGATCACAACCCCTGGTGAACCGGTTGGGGACAGACTCCTGCCAGAAACGGTTGTTGAACATAACAGTCAAAATCGGGACAAAGTTGTGCAACAGTACAATTTCTAGGGCAAACTATCCAGGCCTGGCGACTTGCCTCTGCTGACCTTCTTCAATGCCACGTAGACTTTGCTCTCCATGATCTCCCCATTGCAGCTAGCCACTTCAGTCAGCGAAAGTCAAGGAATGTAAACCAAATAGCTATGAAACTCCTCGTATCAGAAACCAAGATCCTTGGTAAACCGACTCTTGAAATACTGCTGGAACACCTTGCACATGTCGTCAGTGGCCTGGAGAGTATGCCCCTCTGGGGTTTTCACCTCACAAATGTAACAACCGGAACCACAATGGATCTCTTCCTTGCACAATTCTGTGCTTATAGTCTTGCTTAACTTATGTCTAATTACCTGGCCCCTATAGCGCTCACTAGCCAAACACTCCAGGGCCTTCTTAGCTAGGGCTACCTCTAGGGGATCCCTCCCAGCCACTGTCCAGGAAAGACTATCCATAAGAGCCTTCACCTTGTTAGTCTTAGCTAGCGTGAGCTGTTTGCTAAATCCTATCCTTAAGCCTCTTCCATCACCTATTCCCGATAACTGCCCCCACTAGTTCCTGCTGCACTACACCAGTTAGCTGTTCCTGGAAGTCCTGCCTGTCCAGTAAAGACAGATTGAACTTCCAGTAGCCAGCCATTCTAGGCCTACAATCTAACGCCATCTGGGCACAAACAAGTTTGTGGTCCAAATAGCCTACCCAGTGGAACGTGGGACAATCTAACAAGTCTACATCAGCTCCTCTGACTAACATTCTATCCAGGTAGCTAACATCTTCACCCTGGGGTGATCAACCCAGAATCTATCGATGAGACCAAACTCTTTGATCAGATCAACCAAGCTCTGATCGGCCTTTCTCCCTCTAGCTCCCCACCTCTTATCTAACTTTGGGTCCAGGATGGCATTCCAATCCCCCATTAAGACTAGGCGCGTTAAATCCACCAGGAACAGCCCCCAACCACTGAAAAAAAAAGAAACCCGCTCCTCCTGGTGGTTGGGTGCATAAACCGTGAAAACTTGGAATGAACCACTTTTCACAGCAATATCAGCCACGATCAACCGTCACATCCAGGGTACGTCTAACCAGCAAAGAAACTCCTCTGGCATGTAGGTCCCCTTATGCTGAATAAACAACAAAGTTGCTTGACAGCACACACACATTGACGCTGCAAACAAAGTGCGGTGACATCCACTCCGAAAAACGAGATCACAGAATACCTCGATCCTTCAAGCCCTTTGCATTCAGACTGACTAACTTAATAGACATCTTTTAAGTCCTGTAAGTAGAAAAATAAGAATTAACCTACTCACATACCGGGCGGAAATCTGCATTAGTAAGGACCCCGACTGATTGTCCTAGGCTCCTTACACGTCCTTCCAGGATGATTCTGCCGACGTCCATGGGATAGGTTAGTTTTACACACCTATATAAGGAGGGGTGGAGAAAAACAGGAACCCTCCCGGCACAATATTGTCATAGTTTCTTCAAATAAGGAGAATCAATTTTTGCCATTCTTATATTGGAAAATGTCTCCTTGGCTTCTGCCACATGAGCCCAGACTTTCAAGTAGGCCCCAGTGTCTCTTATACAGGTAATCACACCCGAGGCATTTGGGAAGTTATGGGGATCTTCTACTGATTTTCCATCCACACTGAACATTTTATACAAAAGCCCTAATTGGGCCTTCTTTTGGCTGGACATGCCCTTCTTAAATTCCTCCCTGTCCACCCTACAAATTGATTCTGGGCCAGGGAACAATTTCTTCTTTTTCTTTCTTATTGCCTTGGAGGGGTGGGGAGAGGAAGCAGTTGACGAGTGGGGGGGTGTTGAAATGGAACTGAGGGGGATGGAGAGGTGAGGGTTCTCTGAATGTGAAATCCACATTCTCATAAGGATGTATCAGACTACCTCTATGGTGGGTATTTTTATATTTGTCATCAGGTCCTTCCCATGCGTGCATATCACAGGCACAGATGGATAAATCAGGCACATGTTGGCACAACCACTTGCATCAGGTGAATCATGGATTTCCATTGCCAGGCAGGAGGTCATCCCCACACAACTCGAGTGTTTTATTTTTTATATCAAAGAAAACACCTGAGCCCTGTCCAACTTTGAATAGTTTTGAAAATTTAGCTCCAGTTTGGCAATAATGTAAATCAAGGGTTGACAAAGTTATATATTAGTAACTGAACTGTGGCTATGCCAGTGTTCTGGAAATTGAGTTTTTAATTGTTTTTCTTTTCTTCATTGTAGTCGCAGACAGTGGCTGTTTCTATTTGGAGGAACCAATCTATTTGGAGCACAAAATTATACCGTATTGCCAAAGAGACAAATTCTCATTTGGACATTCTTAGCACACTATTTGCCAAACAATGTCATGCCATTGCAGCACAGCGGATATGCCGTATTTTACAAATTACAAATCTTTACAGCAGACTTTATGATCGTAAATCTCTGGTGCATATGCTTGCCAGGCTTGGAAATTCAATTTTGAAATGCACCAGGAATAGACAAATGGGTTTGCTCTTTGGAGCCTCCATTTTCTCATGGGATACATGCCGCATTACAGATGAAGAAATGCAACGGTAAGCAATTAATTTCTCTCTCTCTCTTTTTTTTAACTTGTATATCAGTGTTACTTTCTAACTATTGAATTTCACCATTGTCAAATTGTTGGGGAGGTGACTTCCTGATGATGTTGGTCTGGGCAGGTGATCCCAGTGAAAACCTAATCATAGCTTAACCCTACCCTTATGAGTGAAATTGGGTAAACAACTATTCAGAAGTCATCAATAATTGTGCTAGCATCAAAGACACAAGTCTTTGTCACTGAAGGTTTGAGCACACTGGTCTTGTTTTTTTTTTTTTTTTAAAGAAAAAAATTTGATCATGACAGATTATGTGCTTTCTCTCAGAAACTGTTACTAACGTTGCATAATTGCAATATAAACAACAGGTGGGTTCTGTGGGTTGAGCAGATATCTCTAGTATTGTTTGACTAGTTGCCTTGGCAGACAGTTGGGCTTAGAAACCAGTACCAGCCAGCCAGCCAGCCATTTTTGTATGTATGTGTGTCTATATGTCTTCTTTTACTTTGCTTTTATTCATTTCTTTGTATTATATTTTGGCAAACATGGATAAACATGCTTGCAATAAGATGTAGTATCAAAAGGACAGTTTTTTCCATGACATTTTTTTTTAACTACATTCTTTGGTAATGTCTGTTTTCAAAAAGCAGTGATTAGAATTGGAATAAAATCTAAACACATGAAGTAAATTTATATATTTTTTCGTTCTTGAGAATTTACAATAAATTTTATTCCAATTCTAATCACTGCTTTTTAAAACAAACATTGCTGAAGAATGAAGGTAATTAAAAAAAAAAATGGTGTCATGGAAAAATACATTGTCTTATTGTGGGCACGTTTATCCATGTCTGTCTTTTTTTTTTTTTTTTCATTTATGCGTGATTTTTTTTTGGGGGGGGGCTTCATTTACTTATTATTTTAATAGTTGTCTAATATAATATAGGATAACTCATAACTGTAGATGTCAACCTCCTCTCAGCTCCTATCTCACCTCAGCCTTTTACTGACCAGACATATCACCTTGTGTCTCAATTCTTGTTTGCATTGTTGTGCACAAAAACTGGGAATGGCCAGTTGTAAACTCATAAGGAAATGGCACCATGGTGAGAAATGAAAACATGAATCCTTGGTTGTTTATTCAGGGATTTACTTGCATGGTTTGGTAGACAAGTCAGTGACACTTGGAGCAACTTCTGCTATTTCAGTGTTGACAGACTTATAGATAAGATCTTTCCTTACCACTTCTTGACCCATCTGTACATCACTATACATGGCTTGCAACTCCTTTCTGATGGGCGGCTCAGAATTCTTTCTCAACAGGCATCCCATACCTCCCCAGTGAGCAGCATTGGAACCGCCCTCAATTCTAATTGCGACTGTTTCTATAAATGCTATATAGGAATAAAGTGTTTCTGCCGACACTTGGGTTTGAACACAGATAACCAAAGAGCAAACAGACGATCCCATTTTGAATAAGTAGATCACATGTATATATGGGAATTAGCATGGCGCCTAATTGATCACTATTTTTACACTATCCTCTATTACTATACGGATCACTATTCTCTATACTATTTCTTTATACTGATCACTATACAGATTACTATTCAGTGTTTACTTTTCGAGTGAGTATTATCGAGCAAGTACTATTAGTGTGAGTGTTATTTGAAGGCATCTGACACTAGTATTGTTCAACAGTGTTACTATAGTTGTATCTGCAATTATAAAGTCTCTTCTACAACAAGCATTACGAAAGTGACAACGAGTATTTGTTGACATCATGAAAGTGGCAAAGAGTGTTCATTGACATCACAACAGTGATGATAAGGATTCATTGAACTTACACAATTTACATGAGGAAAAAATTAATCTGCAAAATATTCAGCAGAGTATAGCAAAACTAAAAGCGATCATGATTCAAATATTGGTACTACAAAAGCAACAACAAGAACAATTGCAGCAACAAAAACAACATGAACAGCAATTACAACTACAACAACAGAAGTTTTTTTAATTGTTTACCAAAATGATGGAAGGAAAAACTTCAGATTCATTCACTCCAGATGCTGTTGCTAATTCAATCAGCGAATTTGTGTACAATCCAGATGAAGGGATAACTTTTCCAGCTTATTATAGAAGATATGAAGGAATCTTGAAAAGGGATTGTTCGCATTGGAATGATGAAAAGAAAGTTTGTTTATTATTAAGGAAATTTTCTCTTGCTGAACATGAAAAATATGTGAATTATATTTTCCCGAAAAAACCAGGAGATAAATTTTGATGAAACTGTTTTTATACTATCAAACATTTTTGGTGATAGGAGCTCATTATTTAATACACGATGACAATGTCTTGACTTAGTAAAGTCCAATGATGAAGATACTGTTACTTATGTCGGAGTCATGAATCGAGAATGTGAAAAGTTCAAGTTAAATGAATTAACTCTGAATTTATTTAAATGCCTAATATTCGTACAGGGTTTAACTTCTAACAAGGACAAGGAGACAAATTAACTCTCCAGAAAATAGCGGAAGATTGTCAATATTGTGAATTTGAAACTCGATATCACAAGGATTGAGGAAAAAGACAATTCACAGGTACATAGTGTCCGACCGTCTAAGAGAAAAACCTCCAGATGTTTTTCAACTCCTAATAGAACAGTAAAAAAAAAGACTATAACCCCCCTCAATACCTAATACTTGTCATGGTTGTGGAGGTAAGAATTTTAAGTGATTGTTTCTTAAAGAACAAAAATGTTATGAATGTGGGAGTATGAAAGTACGTATTGCAGATACAAAAAAAAAAAAAATAAAACATGTGAACATGATAAATACATGGAGTAATGATAAGAAACCTAAAAGGGAAATTAACAAGACATCTCAAAAAAGGAAATTTGTTTTTGTACAAATTAATGATGTAAAAATAAAATTGCAACTAGATACAGGATCTGATATCCTCTATCATAAATGAACAAACATGGAGTCTCAAGAAAGAGATTGAACTTTTTTGGTGAATTCAGCTGTAATGTTTCTTTTGTGGGAAAAACCAAAAAAGCTGTAATGTTTGTATTAAAGAATACTGCTAATTTGTTTGGAACAGACTGGATTGCATTGTTTGATCTTTGGGACACTCCAATTAACTCATTTTGCAACAAATTAAGATCACTCTTGAATAACCTGCTGAAGAAAGATGTGAAATGGAATTGAACAGATAAATGTCAAAGTGCTTTTGAAGAGAACAAGAAAGTCTTAACATCAGATTTGTCACTAGATCATTTTGACCCTAAATTAAAGATTGTGATGCAAAGGATTTGGGTATCAAAGCAGTATATATACACACAAATGTGGGGACGGGACAACTAAACAAATAGCTAATGCTTCAAGATCATTAATTGCAGGTGAAGAAGCTACAGCCCAATAAAAAAAGGAACATTTGCCATCAATCTTTGCCATGAAAAAGTTTCATAAATTCATAAACAGTAAAGAATTCATATTTTACAGACAGACCATCATCCATTATTGTTCATATATGGATCAAAAAAGGGATGTTCTCACACATACAGTAAATAGACTGCAGTGCTATTGAACTATAATTATAAAATGGAATTTCTACTATCCAAAATAATGTCATGCAGACAGATTGTCTAGACTAATACCAAGATTCTGTGAACCACTTGAGGACACATTAATTGTGGTGATAAGGGAAGAAAATGAAATTATACAAAACTGTAAGAGAATTGCCCATAACATTGGAGGAAATAAGAGAAGTTGGAAAAAGATGAAGAAGCAATTAAGATTTAAAGGAAAAAATATTACTAGAAATAATGCATTTTCATTATGTAATAATGTATTTATGTATGCAGAAAAAAATTGTGATACCAGCATCGTTGAAAAAATGTATGCTAAAGGAATTTCATGTAGGACATCCAGGAATTTCTAGAATGACATCCTTAATGAGGTGTTATACTTATTGACTAAAAATGGATCAAGATATCAAAAATTTAGTGAAATCGTGCAGAGGTTGTGCTTTGACAGTGAAGTCACTGCCTATCAAAATTCAACCTTGGCCAAAATAGTGATATGCCATGGTCCAAAATACACATTGGCTTTGCAGGACCTTAAACAGAGCATACTATCTAATGTTAGTCAATAGTTACACTAGTGGCCAGAAATATTAAAATGTAGAAGACTAACTACTGTAGTAATGATAAATTTCTTACACGAGATTTTTGCAAGCTTTGGTCTTCCTGGCTCTATTGTTTAAGCAATGGGACACAATTCAAGTCTACTGAATTGGAAAGGTTTGTCGATACGTTTAAAAGAGCACTAAAAAGTCAGAGGGAGAGGAGTCAGATGAATAATGACTCAGCAATTTCTGAGTGCTTACAGAATAACACCAAACCCTAACACTATGTCTGGTATGTCACCTGCAGAGTTGATGTTTGCCAAGAAGATAAAGTCTGTTTTTAATAAATTATTACCAGAACACAAGGTGAGAGCATCAAGAAATAACAATATAAGTAGATAACTTCAAACCTGGAGATAAGGTATTTTTTAAGATGTATCAGCATGGAAAGGAATTCTGGGAAGATGGCGTTATAAAAAAAACAGATTGGCAAAATGACATTCATAGTACAGGGACAAAGGTGGGAACATAAGCAACGCCTTAATCGGAGATTCACTGATTTAGTAAGTCCATGAAAAGAGGTACCGATGGAAATATTGTATGTCATGTTTGATGTATCCACGCCACCAGAAATTAGTGAACCAAGGAGGTACAGTAAAAGAAAAAAGAACAGCAACAGAACATTTGAATATTGAACCGAAGCTGAAAAAATATAGACTCCAGAGGATGTCATCTCAAAGGGGAGGTGTTATATAAGAATAAAGAGTTGTTGCCAACACTTGAGTTTGAACACAGATCACCAGAGAGCAAACACAGTCGATCCCATTTTGAATAAGTAGAATGAAGTGTGTAATATGGGAATTAGTATGGCATCTAATTGCTCACTATTTCTACACTATCCTCTATTCTCTACTCTATTCCCTATACTACTTCTCTATACTGATCACTATATGGATTACTATTCAGTGGTTACTTTTCGAGCGAGTATTATTGAGCAAGTAATATTACTGTTATTTGAAGGCATCTGACACCAGTATTGTTCAAGTGCGTTACTATAGTTGTATCAGCGATTACAAAGTCTTTGCTACAACAAGTATTACGAAAGTGACAATGAGTATTCATTGACATCACAAAAATAAGCCTGTGAGTGGAAGTTTCTAACTTCTGGCACTTGTTCTTGAAAGTCTTCAATTATTCCTCTCTTTATTTCCTTTTGGTTTGTGGGTTGCTACATTGAAGATCATACTTTGTAGATTTCTTTTTCATAGTGTTTGTGTTTTTTGGGTTTTTTTTTCCATTTTTTTTTTTAATTATTTTTAATGTTGTTCAAGGTTTTAATTTCTGCTTATCTTTTATGACAACAACAGGGTTGCAGATGACATTTCATCAGCAAGTCTCAAAAATCTGTCAAAACAAAATGTGCAAGTGAATGATTGGCAAAAAGTAATTGATCGGCCGCAGCTACAAGTGTGGCGCAAACCAATTGAAGACTCTCATCTTTACCAATACAAAGGTTAGCTTAACTCTCTTGTCATCGCAAACAGAAAATGAAAGCAACCAAAATTTGTTGCTCATTAGAAAAGAAAGAAAATTTAAAGAATGCATAGAAATGCAGTTTAAAATTTTATAATGTGTTTTCTTTTACAATTTCTTTCTTAACAGAAAGTTATTTTGTTTTTAGGTTTTTACTGTTTAGGTCTAATATAAACAAAAATGATTCCAACGTTGTCCAACATTCTTTGAGAAATTAATACAATTTACTCTTACTGAAGATGTGAATCATCATGCAAGTGTCACTACACCCTATCTCAGAAATTGAGAACTGTGTGAACCAGTTATTTAAATTAGTATCCTAACTTTTACTTTGGTCACTATTTGGGGGCTAGTGAGCTCTTTAAGCTTCTTCAGGTGTATTTTGCTTTTGGTTATAACTTCTTCTTTTTTTTTTTTTTTTTTCTTTCAATCTTCACTCGTCAAGTGACTAACTGATTTATCCTGTGGGAAGTAGGCAATGTAAGAACTTTCCAAATAAAATGTAATCAAAACAAAGTGAATATATGTCTGAATATATCCTCAAAGAATAAAATATATAAACAAACAATTAGGAAAAATCATGAAATGCATTGTTAAGAAAAGCTATTCTGAAAGTGGTGTTTATATACATATCTCTAAATAAGAGAAAGAACAGATGGAGTAAAAATCCACAGTTTGTAGCATTTACTTTTTTTAAAAAAAAGTACTCACTACAAGGTAGAGCAAAATATTATTATATTTTTATTATAATACATTATAATAAAAACATTTTACATCACTATACAAAAGCTTTCATGTTTCAATATTATAGTTGTACTTCTTCAGGTGATGGTAGATAACTTGTGATAAAAATGATTTATTCGGGAAATTTAAAAACAAATTATTACCCCTTTTCGGAAGTTAAAGGGGGCTTAAGGTCAGAATTAATAATATACTTGTGGTCTAGATTAACCAATTTAAAGTCAGATCTATGCTAAAATAGAAAAATACGGTCAGAGGGTGGAGGTGGGTGGGTTCATTTTTTTCATGTCAAGATAAACTGACACTTGGACATGCCATCCAACGATTATAAGAAACATGTCAGTGACAAATGTATTATGATGTAGCCAAGTATGATGTTCCAATTTATTGAAGTAAACAAAGTTATAAACAAATTCAGGAAGCTTCTTAAAGGGGGCTAATAGGTAAAATTAAAAATGTGGAACATCTATACCTAATGCTAATTATATTGAATAGACGGTAAAACCTGGCAATATTAAAGTTGAATACATCAAATAAATATTAGGTGGACCATTATATACTAATAAAATAATGTCTATACAATTGTAGTATGTAATTATTTATGAAAAAATTTTTCAACTATATTTTAAGGTAAAAGATAGACAATGCCACCATATCACCGTTAATTCATTTCTTTGGTTTAACAGATCTTTTTTGTTAGCAAACTTAATAATATGCAATTTTTCTTGTAAACACAGGGAACATAGATCATGTAAGGATTTACAAGTTCTAGTTTTTTTTTTCTTTTTTTTTTTTTTTTTAATATTTTCCATCTATTAAAATAGAAAATATTAAAAATAAAAAATAAAACTTGTAATTCCTTACATGATCTATGAGATAAACTCATAACTGATTCAGGTGTTGCTTATGTTCCCACCTTTGTTCCTGTACTATGAATGTCATTTTGCAAATCCGTTTTTTTATAACGCCATCTTCCCAGAATTCCTTTCCATGCTGATACATCTTTAAAAAATACCTTATCTCCAGGTTTGAAGTATCTACTTGTATTGTTATTTCTTGATTGTAGAAGTTGGAATTTTCAAAGGATTACTCATTTAAAACTGACCAGATGTTATACATTGCCAGTTATTTGCTTACTAATGTTGAGCATTTTACATTTATTCATATGGTCATACCAAACAATACAGAAGTGCATTTTGTTTTTTTTCTCTCTTATTTTAAGTCCCTGCTATGTTTTTTTTTTTTTTTTTTTTTCCATTTCAGTTCATGGCTCATTCTATGATATTCCTGCATGTGCATTTTTTCTTACACAAGTAAGTAGTTGCCTTCTGGTTTTACTTTCTTGCTTTGTTTATTTTCACAACTTTTTTGTACATTAAATATTTATGTATAGTATACTTGTACCATGCAGTAAAAACAATGTGAGCATAGATTGTCTTGCAGTATTAAGTCTTTGCGCATACAGACAAAAGGAAAACTTTTTCTTTACTAAGGCATTTCATCCCCTGAGGAATTTTATCAAAGTAAATATAAGGATTTTATTTTTAAACACATATTTATAAAGCAAAGTAAAACAGGAAAAATATCGTTATCAAAACTTTATTTTTCTTCTATTTCTGTTTATAAATATATGTTGCAAAATAAAATTCTTATATTTATTTTGATAAAGTCATGCTGGGTACAAAACGTGTTGGTAAATTAGTTTTCCTTTATTCATATTGTCTTTGTACAGATATATTTTATTTATATTTGAATTTTTACACACACACACACACACACACACGTTTAAATTTGATTAAAATTCTAATCATCACCTTTTAAAACAAACATTGCTGAGGTTAGGTTTGATTTTTTTTTTTTTTTTTTTTTTACAGGCACAAAAGTTAAAGATTGCCACAAATTTATTCTTTGGCATAATCTCCTTTCTTGTCAGTTCACTTACCCCACTGCTTCTTTATTAATCACTTAGACTGGACATTATACAGTGAAAATTTCAGATCAAAATTCAGTTGATGTCAAACTAAGCTTAGTGTATACTATTCCATGAGTGTTGCTAGAATAAGTTCTTTAAAATTGTTTCCTAAACATCACAAATACCCTAGTGTCTGTTATTTGAAAACTAATACTTGTACTGTACTACCTGCTGATGAATGTATCTAGATGCTTCGCTTTTTGCAAAGCAGTGTAGATTACATTGGTTTTGTTTTAAAGTTGAATATGTAAGGTTTAGTCATCAAGGACTTACTCATTATGGTTCATTGTTTTGAATTTAGATTTTTATATATACTGAATTCTTTCTCTCCCCCTTATATAAATCAGTGGTATTTGTTTTTATAGCTAAACATGTTTCTTTTTCTCTTGGTTCGTTTGGATATCTAGATCACTCCTCCATCTTTAACACCACAAAATGTCAGCCAATAAAATTTAGTTTTCTTCACATTTTGTTGGATATCATAATTGGTTAATTTGCAGTGTAATACCCACACTCAATTCGCATTAAAAATTTCCAGAAAACTTTAAAATAAAGCTATTTACACCATTTACATTGTTGTCCTCATCTTTATTGTCATATTCACAATGTTTTGGCCGTCCTATGCTCCTGCCTTCTTCAGGTGATATATGTTGGAATTTCAAACTGAACCATTTTCATCCACCAAAGTAGATTGTTCTAGTTTATGCGCTATGCCTTTTCTGGATATCTTGATTTTCAGTTAATTCTCTTTAGTAACTCCACTCACCAAATTTTTGTTCTCTACTGTGGCTGGTCACATGTTAAAATAAAGCCTATATACATAATTTAAAATTTTAAAACAGCTGTGAAATATGAATTTAAAGCATATTCTTACATAACTTTTATCCTTTAATATTATTATTATTACTACTACTACTACTACTACTACTACTAGAGCTTTTTTTTTTTTTTTTTTTTTGCATGGAGGGATCATTTTACTATAAATTTACATTGCAAATTCTTAAAATGAAAAAAAAATTTTTTAAATTTTTTTTTCATGATCTGGAGAGCTTAATCGATAGTAATATGTATGAAAACAAAAAAGTAAAATAAAATTTGAAAAAAATATTCTTGGCAATTGTACAGAAATGCACCTCATTTCTGTAGAACTGACATATTAACTTTTATTTATATTATTGTGAACCATTGCTAATTTTTTTTAATTAATATTTTCCTTCATCCTAAATTTTACTTGTTTTTATTGAAACTTTTATTCGGATAATGTTCAAGTCTATGGCAATGAATAAAATAAAAGTAAAATGAAAGAAAAACTGATCAGAATTCTCAATAACAAAATGAAGATATTTTTATGTTCAGTTAAAAATGAATGTTTACCTTTCTTGTGGCTTTTTTTCACTTTATTATTACAATAAATTCTATATAAACAGGGCATATCAAGATCATGAATTTTAGTCCTTAAAAAGCAGTTGTTCATTTTAAATTAATTAGAATTTTTTTGCAACATGCTGATCCTCACAGTATTTAGTATTCTTGAAATTATCACTAAAATTTTTGTTGAGATTTATAAACTTTACATTTCATTCAATTTTGCAAACCAATTAAAATTTAAATAAGCTGATTTCTTTTAGAAATACTTTGACAAAAATGCTTCTTTGCAGTTTAATAATTTCCTTACTATAAAGTCCTATTAAATTAAACATTTTTTTAAGAAAATTTCTTTTTGGAGCCAAATTCCAACTTTTTGAAACATTTGGTCTTGTGATTTGTTTATAGTTCTTGCAAATGCAGGATGAACTGGAAACTGAATTCTTGTATATATAAAATCTTAAAAGATATACAAAAAACAATATTGCATTTTTATTAAATAAGTATGTTATTTTAATCATTAAATTGTTTTTAAAATAGTGGGAGTATTTTGCATGTTAAATAATAAAATTTTTAATTTTTCCCCAAAAATTAATGAAAGTTTACTGTACTAAGCTATGTACCCTAGTAAAATGACTGTACTTTGTACCTCTTTTCCTTTTTGCATTTCTCCCAAAAATTTGGTTTCTATTGATCAATATATGGCTATTTTAGAAGGTGTGATGGACTAATGGAAGTTACAGAATTTTATATATAGATCTGTGTAATTTAAAATGTTAATTCTATTCTTAGGCAATTGATTCTATTAATTTGTTATTCTTTGGAACTGAAAAAGTATTTAATTGGAATTTACTGTATTATGTTAACAGCGAAAATAATCTTTTTCTTTTATGAAGTGATAGACATTTTTGATTCATGTTTAATGTTTTGATTGGTGATGTGTTAAATTTTTTTTATTTTTTTTTTGCTTTATTTTATTTTATATATTTTTTAAGGTGGATTTATCATATCGAAAAACATGGGACAAATTTGTTATAAAATTGGATGTTGTTGATCAAGATGAAAAATCAGGCACAGAAGTTGTTCACTGGATTACTCATTTCCCTGTGAGTATTTAATATTTGTATGTTCTTTTAGGATAATTTTATGAAAAAAAAATTAAACATTGAAACTAATATAAAAATGGAATTTTCTGTCTTGAAATTCAAATTGCTTCTCCAGGAAATATCAAATGCTGACTTAGTAAAACATTTTTTTTCTTTTTTTATATACTAATGTTCACCCAATATAAAGTTCAAGGGCCAGTCAAAGTAGCAGATTATTGTGTGGAATTGTATTAGCTTAAGAATAGGGCAACAAGTGAAGTTTTTGTGGCTAATAGCTAATTCTAGACTTGGAGTGGTCAACATTTAATTAGTGAATAAAATTTCAGAATTCAGGTGGAGACATTAGACATTTAGAGTTGAAGTAGACTTTAGAAAGAACTGGAAAGCCAATCCTATACAGGAAACAAGGGATAAACCTCTATTCCTGTTAAAAAAAACTGGAGAGAAGTATGAACCAGACAATATGTTCACCTATCTACTCTTATTTGGAGAGGAAAAATAATAATAATTACAGAATAAAATTTCAGTGTGCAGGCAGAGAGGCATCAGAAGTAGAATTGAAGGACTGAGAAACCCAAAGCTCAAACAAGGAACAAACTCCCATATCTGCTCAAATTAGTGAATAAGACTTTGGATTTCAGTTGGAGATGTCAGAAGCACAGTTAAAGCAGACCCGAGAAGGGACTGGAAATATAATTGCAAACAGGGAAAAGTAATTAAATAATAAATAAATTTATGGAGATTAGCTCTGAATACATCTGTTAGAGTAGAGTTAGTTCTGGAACTGACAGTATGATATTATCTATTAAGCTTTAACTTCAAATATCTTTTATCAAAACAAAATCGGGTAGGGAATTATTATTATTTGAATTATAGTGAGATATATGTACAAATAAATTCAAATTTTGGTCAAACAGTGTTAGGCTAGCAAAAGATGATTAAAAGCCAAAATATACAAATACCCTTTTAAAAATGAATACGCTTAAATAAATAAAATCAAGTTTAGAATAATAAGTTGTTGCCTATTTCATGAGATTCAAATTAGTTTTTGTTGTTTGTTTTTTTAATTTACCTGAAACAACCAAAACAAATACTACGTTTTGTTCTTAGAAAATTGGGACAAAAGGATTTTTTATTAAAATGTTGGAAAAGCAGAAACTAAATAAAACTTAAGTGATGGTAAGAGCAGGGTTTGTACAAGTCCTGGAAACTTTGAAAAGTCCTGGAAAATTGACAGAGCCTGTTCAAGGGCTTGAAAAGTCCTGAAAAAACTGCAATAGCTAAAAAGCTCTTTGAAAAGTCTTGAAATTTTATAAATTGAGGTGCCCACAAATCCCTTTTCTCAATTCATAAAAATCAAAATGCCAAATCTCAGAAATTTGGCTTTTTTACAAGCTAAAAATGTCCTTTAAGAAAAAATTTTTTTATCGTTAGTAATATTTGGCAATTGTTGCAAATGGTGATATGTTTCCTTGATGATAATGAGTTCATGAACTTGTTACCTTTGTTTTTTCTCATCTAGGCAATGAGAAAAAAGGGAGAAAGAATATGAAGGCATGTCTTTTAGCTGCTATCTAATTCAACAAAAAAAGAGGAAAAGCAAAGAAAAGGCATCAGAGACAAGTAAACATCTCCGTCAAAGATAAATTAATTCACACTCATTTAAAAGAAAATAATTTATTTTACAGTAATAAAATACATTTTAGAATCTTGAAAAATTTATTAGTTTTTTAAAATTTGAACAATTAAAGAAATTTTATTCACATGTCAATTTCAAAAGTAAAAAGTCCTGTGATGGGTGAGTTCATGCTGACAAAATAGATACATTTGGTCCATCTGAATGTGTAAACTAAGTATCTCCACTATTTCAGCATAAATTTTCTATATTTAAGTTTAAAATGAATTTTTTTACAACATTCTTGAAGATTTTATTTTAGCTTTAAAAAAAAGTTTCATCATTAAATTTATGATTTCCATTAATTAAACAATTCTGGTGTATTTCAGATAGAAAATATATACATTTGATTGTCAAATTTAAATTCAAATTTTTTAATTTTCTTAAAATCGGCCATTTTCTTAATTTTAAGAAATTTGTAAACAAACACAAATTTATCGATTTTGAAAATATTTAAGAAAATTTCTGACACGTTATTTTAGTAAAATTAAAAAATTTAAAGTTAAAGTAATCTGATTTGAAAAATCTTTCTTACTTATAGCATAAAAAAATAATATACAACCAATTATTAACGAGCGGTCCTGTTCATCTGATCGAACTATTGATGGATTGTTGAATGACGAACCGATGACAGCTACTACTGATGACCATAAATGACATAATTTTTAAGTCTGAGTTTTTTAAAAAATTATTCTATTTGAGTATGACACACACTAATGGAAATACAATACATAAAATAAAATTATTTAGTGAAATAGTAAATGAAAAAAAGAAAAATTACTTTAAAATTTAAAGTTTACACTTTTTTTTAAAGCTGAACGGAAAATACAACCTGTAAGAAACGAAATGTTATGAAAAGGCCACGTAAAGGGACAAAACCCTTAGATCACGTGACCTTGTTATAATAATGGCAATTTCTGTATATCATACATGGAAATAAGGAATGTATTAAGTAAAAAAAGACAACATAAAAAATTATTTTTAAAAAAGTAGCACAACTAAATTTATTAAACTTGGCAAGTTAAGTTTGTGGCATTTTCATTATGCTATATGCTGTTTTCCCGCGAAAACAGTGAACATGCTTAGTGTAAACTGTTTGTCTAAGATAAATTGTTATCAAAACTAACAAGTTTGGGAATCAAATTTGACTCAAAGAAAATGTACATGGGAAGGATGATAGAATAGAACATGTGCTTTTGATGTATTTTAGGATAGAAAATATGTCTTTGAAGAAATATGAATGATGTTATTTTTAAAGTTTGCAGGCTAATAATTACCTGTATCTTTAGATTTTGTTGTGTGAAAAAATGATGAAATATATTAAAACTAGGTACCTCCACTAATTTTCAATACCTTGATTTAAAATGAATTTTTATAAATGAAAACTCTTTCTTGAAGCTTCCATTTTAGCAATAATTGGAAGCTAAAGGATTAAATTTACTATTTCCAGTAAACAAAATACTCTGTAGTGTAATTTCAAACAGAAGTTATATTGATTGGAATTGATTTTTTTTTTCTTTTTCTCTCTTTCTAAAATAGCCGATTAGTGCCTTTTTTTGGTCTTTCATTACAATAGAATTCTCTGTAACAAAAAATTTTCTGAAATTTTATTTGAGAAATATTAGCCGACTTAAAGTATAATTAATCTGAGTTGAAAAAAATATTTACTTAAAGTTTGAAATGGATTTTCAAAAACACAGTAGCAGTGATTTTTTTTTTTTTTTAACCAACAGCAACCATCCTTACTTAATTAACGAGCGATGACAAGTGCTGATAATGTGTTGAAATGTTTATTATTGTTCTATGGAGATTTTATCTGTTAAAACATAATTTAAGAAAATGACTGAGACCCCCTTTTTATATATATATATATATATATATAATGTGTGAAAAGTGAATATAAATATAAATAAATATATATATATGTATAATTATTTATATATTATATGTGATTTTATTAGAAAGCGCTCAATATCAGAGATAGAGCTAATGGATATTTGGTTGGATAGATGAACCTTTTTTGACCCTGGGTTTCACGTCTGACGATCGCTAAAGGTGAAAACAGGGTTTATTGTTCACATCTATCCAATATATATAATATATAATATATATATATATATATATATATATATATTTTATATATAATTTTAAGTACTCAGTAATCTTAAAAATGTTGGAAAATATTCGTAATCTAATTTTAGAAATGTTGACTTTAAATTTACTATAGTCATTGCTCTTATGTTTTGATAATGTCAAGTATGGCTGACCATACTTTCAAAAATGGGCACATAACATAGTATTTTATACACATAAAAAAAATTAAAATTATTTTAAAAATCTTGGAACAAAATGATTTTTATTAAGCTTTTCAATTTTTGATTAGTAAATATAGTTTTCACTTAATGACAATATCACCTAACTGGATAAAAGTAATGTAGAATTTTAAGAGATTTATATATTATAAATTAATATAATTTAAAAAAAAAAAAAAAATGAAAACAACTCTTGTAAAACTTCATTATTCATTGAAAAAATTTTTTTCTTAAGACAATAGTGTCCTTAATATTTATAAAAGCAATTAAAAGCTTTTCTAATAATTGTCATAGTTTTATTGCATTTTTTATTTTACGATTCAGAGCAGGTTTTTTTTTTTTTTTTTTTTTTTTTTTAAATGATTAGTAGTTCGGAAAAAAAAAAAAAATATGATGATTTATATTCTCCAACGAGTCCTTTTAAGTAATAAAAAATTTTCAGATGAAAATTTAATTTCTCGAAATTTAATGAAATTAAGGGTGGGGTGTAACTTATGTAGAAAAAATAAATATTTTTACCAAGACCTATTACTAATAGTAACCATTATGTTGACCACTGATGCAAAGGTTTTAACCTAAATTTCAAATGTACTAGAAAGGATTAAAAAATACACTTTGGTCTCTTCTTTTAATATTAACAAACATTTTGATAAAATTTTATTTTTTATTAAGTTTTCATCATGCTATGCTTTTTTTTTTTTTTTTTTTTTTTCAGGGAAAAGTGAACTTATTTTGCTTTTATTGTTTGGCTTTATATTAAAAGTTCAATCTAGCAAACCTGTCCCTTTACTTTTGTATTTCTGCCATAGATGACTAGAGAATGTACAAACATGTGAACAGCTCTTGGACATTTGGCCAGATGTCATCAAATTTGTTAACAGAAAAATGTCCTTCCAAAAATCAGAAAAAAAACATCCTTTACCGTGATGCTGTCAAACATGAATGACGTTTTATCTACAGTGAAACTGAGGCTGCTGGAAATATTGCTCTCAAGAATTTCCGCAAGTATGAAGACTGTCTGGATA